AGCCAGGCTGGCACAATAAACTGTCTCAGTGCCTAACCACTTTTTAAAGCTTTTTTATTGTGAATTAAATGAAAGTTTTCAGAACAGATCTTCATTTTTACATTCAACAGTTCATACATCTTTTGTTTCAATTCATTCACTGAAATCCACTCAATCCTCTCTGTTTCTGACTATTTCTCCTTCTTTTCTAACCCTCTGAACTTTGTGTTTGGGCCTTGGTCAAAGATCAGCTATCCATTGGGGGATGAGTTTACCCCTGGGTTCTCGCTCCCATTGGTCTGTGCGCCGGTCCTCGTACCAGTTTGGGTCTGTTTTCATTGCTGTGTAGTAGGTTTGAGATCAGAAAGGGAGACACCGGCTACATTGTTCTGTAGTTGTGCTTCCTTTGCTTCTCTGGGGTCTTTTTTTTAATACTTTTATTAGGGGCTCTTACATCTCTTATCACAATCCATACATTCCTCCAATGTATCGAGTACATTTGCACATATGCCGCCATCATCATTTTCAAAGCATTCTCTTCCCACTTCTCGGGGGTCTGTTATATTTCCATATAAAGTCTGTGTTTAATCTTTCCATATCTTGAAAACAAGCGAATGTAATCTTGTTTGGAATACTTTTATCTGTAGTATTGACATTTTCACACATTTCATTTTCCTATTACACATTCTTGCATTTAGCTAGGTTTCTTTTTTATATTCTGGAATAGTTTGGGTAGAATTGTTGTCAGCTTTTCTCTGAATGTTTGGCAGACTTCACCAGTCACACACTGTGTCTGGATCCAGACTTTTTTTGTTGAGAGTTTTGAAATAATCTGATAAATTTCTTCTTTTTTATGGATCTGCCCAAATTTTCCACTTCAGTTTGTATTCGTTTAGGAAAGTATGTTTCTAGAAATGTACTCATTGCTTCTAGGTTTTCAAATTTGTTGGCATATACAGTTCTTCATAGCATGCTGCCCTGATCCTACTACCGTGTTATCTCCATGGGTGGGGCTGTGTGATGTCACCCCTTGTCTTTCTTATTCATATTATCTGCATCTTCTCCTTCTTCTCCTTTGTTATATTTGCCAGTGGCTTGCCAACTTTATTGATCCTTTCAAAGAACCAACTTCTAGCCTTGTTGATTCTTTCCACTTGTCTGTTTTAATGATTTTCTTCTCTAATCTTTATTATGTGGCTGCCTTTTTTCTAATTGTTGGAGATGTTTGGTTAAGATGTCGATTTTTGTTCTTTCTTTTCTTTTTCTTTTTTTTTAACCTATGCATGTATTGCTATAAATGGCCTTTGGAATTCTGCTTTTGCTGTGTCCCAAAGGTTCTGAAATGTTATGTTTTATTCTCATTTGATTTGAGAAATTTAAAATTTTCATTTTTATGTCTTCTATCACCCCATAGTTTTAAAAGCAGGGTGTTATTTAATTAGCATGTATTTGATTTTCTTCCCTTAATCTTTCTATTGATTATTTCTAAGTTTATTACTTGTAATTTGAGAAAATGCTTTATAGCATTTTGATGCTGTATCTGTATGTGATTGGTGATTGTATGTTTGTGTGTCCTTAGATA